CTTACCTCTCTCTCTCCCATCTTGCATCTCTCCCATTCCCATCTTGCATTCCTTCCCCTTCCAGTCTTCCATCTCTCCCTCTTTCCATTTTGTATTCCCCCTTCCCTTCCTCTCCTTTTCCTCAGGTTTCCTCCCACACAATTCGTCACCTTTCCTTCTGAGTGTTCGCTTTTTCTCTCCTTTATCCCCTCTCTTCTACATTCCTAGATCAACCTTTTTCTTTCCCCCTCCCCTTCCATCCCTAGATCCACGTTCCCCTTCCACTACCACCAACTCCTCTTTCTCTCTTCCATCTCCAACAACAACAACAACGTGCCTCTCCCTCTCCAGTTCCCACCAACAAATGTCTTCTTGTCCCCCTCTACCTTCCATCACCAACAACGTCCCTCCACCACCACCACCACCACCCCACCTCCTACCAACCCCTCCTCCTACACCCTACCTCCTCCCATCTACCACCACCCTCTCCTCCTGCCACCCACCCCCTCCCACCACCATCCTCGTGTGTGTGTGTGATTAAAAAATAAGGTGACGACTAAGACCCTCTGATCCTGTTACTGATTCTCTCTCAACTCCGCCTCTGATGCTCTTCTTTTTTATTAGTATTATTATTATTGCGTTTAATTGTGAGCGAAGGACTTTGGTGTGAGTCATGTTGTGATGCATGTTTATTTTAGTGAGAGAGTTACAAAATCCTATTCGACAAGGAACACATTTCGCCTTAACCTGATTCAGTCCCCAAATTATTAATTCACGAGAAGATTGGGCGAGAGGGGAGACGGGGAGAGGGGGGACGGGGAGAGGGGGACGGGGAGAGGGGGGGACGAGGGGGAGGGAAGGGAAGGGAGACGGGGGGAGAGTTGGACCAGGGAGGAGAAGGTAGAGATGTGGAGGGAGAGGAGAGGATCGGTAGATGATAGAAGAGGAAGACAAAAAACGGGGAGGGTGTGGAAGAGGGGCAGAGAAGGAAGAAAAGCGAGGAAGGGAGAAGGGGTAGGAGGAAGGGGATGACAAGGAGAGCAGGGATAAGATAAAAGAAGGGAAAGAGGAGGAACAAGATCGGAAGAGGAAGGATGAGAAAGAGAGGGGGAGAAAGAGGGGAAGAGGTCCTTCTCGGGGGCAGAATGAAGAGAAGAAATTAAAAAAAAGGATGGGAAGGGGGAAGAAGGGAGAGGGGAAATATTGACAAAAAAAGTGAGGAGGGAAAGATAACAGAGGTGGTAAAGAGGAAGGGAAGTAGCGAAGAAGGAGGGGGGAGGGGAAGAAGCCACCACCACCACCGTGAGACACCTTAAAGAATAATTAATCACCGGCCATAAGCTACATCCCGAGGCGTCAGATTCCAAGACAACATCACCGCCACACACTTAGTAGTTAGGATCGGGGACTGGGTCAGTTAAAGTCCTACTAGACCCCAAGCGTTAATGGGCCCCAGTCATAACGGGTCTACATCCTAGGTTAGGTTAGGTTGGGGTCAATTAGGACTAGGGGCCAGTTGAGGTGCAAGCTATAGGCTACCACATTTAAATGATTATACCTCTCTCTCTCTTTCTCTCTCTCTCTCTCTCTCTCTCTCTCTCTCTCACCTTTCTTTACTCCTTCCCTACATCTCGCTTTCCTCTCACTTCTTCCTTCATCCCATCCCCCCTCCCTCCCTTCCCATTCATTCCTCCCTCCTTCCCCCCCTCCCTCTCCATCCCTCCCTCCCTCACAATGTATAAAGGACTTGGGTACGCGATTTATACAAAGGGGAGAAACAGCCTATGACGAACCACGACGTATTTTATTGTTTCTGCTGAGCCTAAAATGAGGGGAGATGTGGGGAGGGGAGGGGAGGGGAGTGAGGGGTGATGGTTGAGAGGAGGGGTGAGAGGGGAGGAGGGGTGAGAGGATGTGGGTGATGAATGGTGGGGGTGTGTAGGATGAATGGAGGGGAGAGGTGAGGGGCTAGAGGGATGAGGGAAAGCATGGGAAATGAAGGGTGAGGGAGGTGAGTGGGGAGGAGAGGTAAGGGGTGAGAGGAAGTAAGGAGAATGGATGAGAGGTGAGGAATGGCAGAAGTCAGATGATAGGTTAGAAGTAAGGGGTGAGAGGGGGAGGGGTAGTGAGAGGTAGTAGAGACGATGGGAGGTAAGTAGTGAGGGGTAGAGAGGGCTGGTGAGGGCTAGAGAGGGCTGGTGAGGACTAGAGAGGGCTGGTGAGGGCTAGAGAGGGCTGGTGAGGACTAGAGAGGGCTGGTGAGGGCTAGAGAGGGCTGGTGAGGGGTAGAGAGGGCTGGTGAGGGCTAGAGAGGGCTGTGAGGTGAGAGGGCTGGTGAGGGCTAGAGAGGGCCAGTGAGGCTTCAGAGAGGGCTGGTGGGGCTAGAGAGGGCTGGTGAGAGTCAGGTAAACGACTTGGCAGCTTTGATTGATCAGCTGAAATGAGAAAAACTTTTAGAAAGGGGTGATAATGTGTGTGTGTGAGAGGGAGAGAGAGAGAGAGAGAGAGAGGAGAGAGAGAGAGAGAGAGAGAGAGAGAGAGAGAGAGAGAGAGGGACCTTAGAGCCAACTCTCCGGGGTGTGAGAGCCAGGCAGGGGAGTCACAAGCATCTACGCATCACTTCTTCTAAACCTATAAGGGGATTTGAAAATATTACGCCCCCCTTTCCCCTCCTCATCACCCCACCTTCCCCAAGCCCCTGTACGCTTCCCCTCCCCTACCTCCTCTCTCCCCTCTGTGTCACCCCTTCCCACTTCCTCTACCATCCTTCCTCCTCTGTACGCATCCCCTCACCCCCTTCTCCTCTTTCCTTTCTCCCCTCTACGTATCCCCTCCTCCTTCCTCTCTCCCCTCTACTTAACCACTTCTCTTTCTTTCCCTTCCTCTCTCCCCTCTTGACAACCCCTCCCACTTTCTCTCCTCCCCTCATCTTCTCTCCCCTCCAACGCGAAGGATCAGGGCTTCGTACGCTTCGATTCACTTAGACGCCAGCGTAAGCCTTCGTACGATCCTCGCTAAGTGACGTGCATCCAGGAGTAGATTGTCGTGCATTTCAGCCCAGAGGTGGAGATCGTACGCGTCGTGTAAACAAATGGGCGTCCTCTGGGAAGCTCTCGTACGGTAATATAAAGGTAATGTGCGTAAGAGAAGAGGGAAAGGTTTCGTGTGTTTTTTGTTATCGAAATAGATATCGTATATTTCATGTAAACACTATCGTCCTCTGAGAAACCTTCGTACGAGATGCTCAAATTAACGTACACTGTAAAGCAACTATCGTGCATTTTAATCTCTATCTGGAGATTATACTTCATGAAAAACGGAAGGTAGGTTAAGCCTTAGTGCATGATGAGGACAGTGAGATGCATCGTGAAAGAGACGATGTGTGTTTCTACTCGGAGCTGAAGGTTATTTGTTGCTCTTGAATATTCAGGACACGTTGGCTAACCTTCACACCATTTCTCAATATGACGACCATAACAAAGCAGTTTTCTTGCGTCTCAATATCTGCGTGAAGGTCATATGCTTCATGTCAATAAATAGTTGACCTCAAGGCCTTCCTGCAAGTACCTCACGTGCAGAGTAAATAAGAAGTCATGCATTTACTGACACTCTCTGGAGATGGAGATCGCATGCTGCATGTAAATACACGGCTTCACCAGACAACCTTCGGACAAACCTCTCGGAATGACCTGCACAGAAATTCATTTGTCGTGCATTTAAAATTGGATATCGTAAGCTTGCACAAGAGAGATGATTTATTCCCAACAAACTACATATGATCTTCTTCATTGCCTTGTACGTCAAACCGATTGTCGTGCATGTTCACCTCGAGATACAGATCGTACGTCAACAATCATTGCCTCCTCCCTATGCAGCCTTCGTACAATCCCTTAAGAGTGACGTGCATATAGAAAACTCACTTGTCGTAAATTTTAATTCAAAGACGGCATAGTACACATAAACCCTGGTACAAATCCATCAAGAGGAATGTACACACACACACACACACACACACACACACACACACACACACAAAAACCCTCACTTGTCGAGCATTTAAAACACGGAGATAAAGATCGTACGCTACACGCAGACATTTCTTACCATTCCCTCTGAGTGACGTAGATCAAAGAAAGGCTGTCGTGCCCTGGTAGTTTTCAGGAACCCAAAGGTTGTATATTGCGCGAACCTCGTGAGAATATTCAGCAAAAGTCCCCCGACACAACTTTTAGAAGATTTATGAACAACTTTGAGGAGAGAAGACGCAGGAAAGGGGAAAGGGGGGGAGGATGAGGGGAGGGGGTACACCTGGGTAGCCCCCCCCCTTCTCCCTCTGGTTAAAATGATTGTCTTGGAGGCGGCGGTGATGTTAGTGTGAGTGTTGCTTCAATAGTCTCGTTGTTACTGTGACACTATGAACAGGTAGGCGGTGGTGGGGGTAGGAGGGGAGGCTGGGGTGGTGATAAGCAGGCGGAATAAAGGGGAAAGGTATTGAAGGGAGATGAGGGGAAGGGAGTGGAAAACAGGTATAGGGTATTGAAGGTGATGTGTGGTAAAATTGGTGTTGGTGGTGGTGGTGATCAGTGGTGGTGGTGATCAGTGGTGGTGGTGATGGTAGTAATAGTGTTGGTGTTGGCGTTTATGGTGATAGTAGTGATGGTGATGATGGCAGTCATACAGGGGCCATCACAATAACACACCACGCAACGCATCACAACACAACACTACAACACACACACCACACTACACTACACACAACACAACACAACACCCCACACATCACACACTACACCACACAACACACTACATCACACACTACACCACACAACACCACACCACACCCTACACCACACACCACACCCTACACCACACCAAACTCCCCTGGTAACTATTAACTTCCATAACATCTTTTTTACGATTCATTCATCATCATTTTACTGTTGAAATAAATAATGGAGAGAAAGAGGAAGCAAGTGAGGGTAACGACTCTACCTACGACTCTACCTACGACTCTACCTCAGAACTACCTCCGACCCCACCTTCGACTCTACCTCCGACTCTACCTCCGACTCTACCTCCGACTCTACATCCGACTCTACCTCCGACCCCACCTCCGACTCTACCTTCGACTCTACCTCCGACTCTACCTCCGACCCCACCTCCGACTCTACTCCGACTCTACCTCCTGACTCTACTCTCCGACTCCTACCTCAGACCCCACCTCCGACCTCTACCTCCGACCCCACCTCGACTCCCACCTCCGACTCTACCTCCGACTCTACCTCAGACTCCCACCTCCGACTCCACCTCAGACTCTACTCAGACTCTACTCTCGACTCCCACCTGACTCCCTACCTCCGACTCTACTGATGACTCTACTCCAGGGGAGGTGTGTGGGCGGGGGAGGGCGGGGAAGGCGAGGACGGGGAAGGAGGTGGGTGAGAGGTGTTTTGACAGGAGACAGGCGTGGGCCTTTCTAAACTGACAGCCTGTTGACATTCTACTAATATTGACGTTATTTAAGAGAGGGTGTAGTAAGTGGGGGCTGGTGGGGGGGTAGGGGGAAGTAGAAAGTTGTAGCGTGATGGTAAAAACGGAGAGAGAGAGAGAGAGAGAGAGAGAGAGAGAGAGAGAGAGAGAGAGAGTGTGTGTGTGTGTGTAGCAGTTGCTGCCCTTACTTTGCATGTTCACCTAATTTATTCTTCTATATAACCCCCTCCCAACACACACAATTCGGTCTACCTGTACAAACAAAACCAACAAGGTGTGTCAACGTCGACTACTGCACCTCCCCAACACTTCATTGATTCATCTTTGTTTATCATCAATCTTCATCGTCTCCTTACCTATGTCCACGGTGACTGCCTCCACATGCCTCTAATGGGAGAGTGTGTGGCAGGGGCAGTCATTGTGGTCCACGGTGATGACTGCCTCCACATGCCTCTAATGGGAGAGTGTGTGGCAGGGGCAGTCATTGTGGTCCACGGTGATGACTGCCTCCACATGCCTCTAATGGGAGAGTGTGTGGCAGGGGCAGTCATTGTGGTCCACGGTGATGACTGCCTCCACATGCCTCTAATGGGAGAGTGTGTGGCAGGGGCAGTCATTGTGGTCCACGGTGATGACTGCCTCCACATGCCTCTAATGGGAGAGTGTGTGGCAGGGGCAGTCATTGTGGTCCACGGTGATGACTGCCTCCACATGCCTCTAATGGGAGAGTGTGTGGCAGGGGCAGTCATTGTGGTACACGGTGATGACTGCCTCCACATGCCTCTAATGGGAGAGTGTGTGGCAGGGGCAGTCATTGTGGTCCACGGTGATGACTGCCTCCACATGCCTCTAATGGGAGAGTGTGTGGCAGGGGCAGTCATTGTGGTCCACGGTGATGACTGCCTCTACATAATGGAACACTGTGGACAAGACTATGACCACCACCTCGACATATTGGATCTCTTCAAACCCTCCTCCCCTCAATAATGTCTTATCAATAATCTGAGAAAACATCGTTATATTTGTGTTTACATTACCGTGGACAACTCTTTCACTATATAACGTTAAATCAGGTAAGGTTAGGTTAGGTTAGATGAGGTTAGGCTAGGTCAGGTAAGGTCAGGCAGGTCGGGTTGGGCTAGGTCAGGTTAGGTTAGGTTAGGTCAGGTTAGGTTAGGTTATGCGCCACAGTTTACCACAAACCATCACCCCAGCGACCAACACCACTCCTCTACTGTGACGTGTAAAAACCTACCTGACGCGGCGGTAGAAACTGACAACATCCTCGACCCCAGGAGCTGACTAAACCACCCACATGAGGCAAAATTGTACCCTAATATTGCCAATAATCTTGACCATCCATTTATGCCACACATCCTTTCTACCCGCTCCACAGACATCCTTCTATCCACCGCTGTCATCCATCCTCCGTTGTCCGCCTCTCATCATCCGTTCTTCCTTGATTTCTCGTCTCTCTGTTTATCCACCTTCTTCTTGGTCTGTCTCTCCTCCCTGTACAACTTGGTGAAGTGAGGAACGGGGTGAGGTATTTTACTTAAACTATTAAAGATTGGGTAAAATTGTCCTTCAGGATTTGTCAATAATGATGTTAAACTAAGTAAATAGCTGAGAGAGAGAGAGAGAGAGAGAGAGAGAGACCCTTGACGTTTCTCACTCAGAGGTGGAAAAGGCACAGTCTCTCACCTTGCTTATCTGAAAGAGGAAGAGGAGGTGAAGATGGAGGAAGAGGAAGAGGAGGAGGTGTAAGGGGGGAAGAAGAGGTGGAGGAGGTGAAAGGGGGGAAGAAGAGGAAGAGGAGGAGGTGTAAGGGGGGAAGAGGAGGAGGAGGAAACACTTGGTGATGACTCAAGGAAACGTGACACTCTCTGGATATTGGTTCCCCAGGACCTTCCCTTCCCTCTCCCCACCCCTCATCTCACCAGCCTCCCCTCATCTCATCCCCCTCCCCTCATCTCATCCCCCCTCCCCTCCTCTCATCTTATCCCCCTCCCCTCATCCTCTTCACTTCCCCTATCCCTCCTTCCCTTCTATTGCCGCCCCAAACTACAGCAAAAATGAGTTGATGTTCTATCTAAGTAATCCCGACTCTCTCGATGACCTTCCACAAAAGACTCTCTTTGGGGCGTGGCTTCATAAAAGTGTTACAGATCTCTTGAAACCGAATGTCAAATTTGTCTATGATATTAAAATAAATGTGATAACTGCTAAGGAGAACAGCTTTCGCATTGAATTTGTGTAGATTCCGTCCCATGTTGGAATCAGGTATCATGGCTGCTGATAGACTGGCCAATGAGGCATGTAAGAAAGAAAATGTTGACCGTGACCTTGGCCTGTCCAATGCTGTAATTAAAAACATTGTAGTCAGAATCATGAACTCTGATCTAGAAGAACTGAGAAATGCAGAGAGACCTGACAGTTGTAGCATTAGTAAATATGACAGATTTGGTGACAAGAGGTACCGGTATGGCCAGCATAAGGACAGAACCAGACAATGTGATGTAGTCGTGGCCAGAATTAGGCTAGGATACAGACACATCTGGCAAGTTAGTAACGCTGTACCCATACCGGAACACTCAGCATGTAAACTTTGTGATAAACCTTTAAAGCATACACTTGAACACTATATTATTGAATGTGATACGGTCAAACACTCATGCCACCTGGCTTAATGTATCATGAATTTTGTAATTACTACATTGAATCAGGTGTGCTTGAGGACATTCTTGCTGTTTATCCCAAAGATGCTAGCCCACACTGATTAGTCTTCAATTAGAATATGACGTCCAATGTATATGAACCTCTGTCCTGCATGGCAGTGAACAGTGACATCACCCACATGACTCTGACCTATATATATAGTCAATGAATATGATGTATGTCTTTGTGTATGAACCTCTGTCCTGCGTGTCAGTGAGAAGTGATACCACCCTCAGTGTCAAGACCTGACTGAATTACTCACAATAGTCAAACTGTACTACAAGCTTTGTCAATAAATGTGTTAAACTAAAAAAAAGCCTCACAACCCTTACTCCTCATCCCTTCCCTTCTCTTCCCCACATCCTCCTTTCCTTCCCTCTACCTTCCGCCTCACTTCCTCCATACCTTCCTCTCCCCTCTTTCGTCTCCCTCTTCTTCACTCTCCCTTCTTTACCCCCCTTTTATCTCATTATCTCCCCCTTTCCTTCCTGCACCGGAGAGATAATTCACACTTTACTATTTACCTCTTGATGACAAAACTATTTACTCACAGAATACAAAATACTTTAAGATCACATGAAGATTATCCCCCCCCCCCTCCCACCCCTCGTCAGGTTATTAAAATTGATGATTAAAACCTGGTCTCTACCTGGATGAAGGGGGTTGGTTAATTGGATTAAATAAGCTGGGGAGTGTTTTCGACCTTGTAGCTGTTGAAAGAGCAGTGAGGAAAGGTTACCGCCAGCGCTGTGAGGGAAGGGTTACCGCCAGCGCTGTGAGGAAGGGTTACCGCCAGTACTGTGAGGGGAAGGTTACCGCTCCAACACTGTGAGGAAGGGTTACCGCCAGTACCTGTGAGGAAGGGTTACCCACCAGCACTGTGAGGAAGGTTACCGCCAGCACTTTGAGGAGGGTTACCGCCAGCACTGTGAGGAAGGGTTACCGCAGTACTGTGAGGAAGGTTACCGCCAACGCACTGTGAGAAGGGTTACCGCCAGCACTGTGAGGAAAGGTTTTCCAGCACTGTGAGGAAAAGGGTTACCACCAGCACTGTGAGGAAGGGTTACCGCCAGTACTGTGAGGAAGGGTTGCCGCCAGCACTGTGAGGGAAGGGTTACCAACAGCACTGTGTGATTGGTGGAGTTTTGGATAACCTATGTGAGTGTTATGGTAAAGGTAATACGGAAAAAATAGTTGATATGAACACAGAGTTGACTAGTTAAGGTGACGGAGTGAGGCTAGCAGTGCTGATGGTGGCAGTTGTGCTGAAACGACAAGTAAGTTGTACCTATTGGAAGTGGGTGCAAATTAATGTGATAAAGAGTGGTGAGGGCAATTATGGGAGAGTGGTGAGGGCAATTATGGGAGAGCGATAAGAGTGGTGAGGGCAATTATGGGAGAGCGATAAGACTGGTGAGGGCAATTATGGGAGAGCGATAAGAGTGGTGAGGGCAATTATGGGAGAGCGATAAGAGTGGTGAGGGCAATTATGGGAGAGCGATAAGAGTGGTGAGGGCAATTATGGGAGAGTGACAAGAGTGGTGAGAAAGTTGTTGGTGGTGAATTGGCTCGATGGCCACCCCGGGACGATAACACTCAGCAGTTCTTCCTAAACACATCAGAAGCTTCATCTGTCCTGGGTGGGGCAGGTCAGAGCACAGTGTCGAGCTGTGAGCACTACGAGTATCAATTACAGACAAGATATAGGACCCATTGTATACGATACGATATGAAGCTGTTATTTGTCACTTGTAAACCACAAATCATGAGTAATGTGTTGACAGGTTTGAACCATTTAAACATCATTGAGTCCACGTGCACGGGTCTTCTTATCCACACGTCGAGTACTTACCGCTTCAGTGTCGGTAATCAGGTCATCAAAGCCCTCAAAGGTCTACCCACAACCTATCCTGACCCCACACGAGTTATTTCTGACTTATGACCTGTGAATGACCTCGTCTGATCCCCGTGTGTGACCTGTGAGCTTCTCTGTCTCTCATTATCCCCTTACCCACCCCTTACCCACCCCTTACCCACCCCCCACTCTCTTTCTCTCCTCCTATCTCATATTCTCCCCCCTCTCCCTTCACCCTCACCTTTTTTAGCTAACTTTATCCACTTTGGTGATTTTTTATTTCTCAATCTTTATTTTGCGAGTAAAT